GTCTTCAAAATAAGGGTGCGTCTTGTACACCGGTGATTCTTATATTCCGAAAAATACGGTATTAGGTGTTTCTGTCAAATATGAAGATATGCTTCTTACTTGTACTTGCTTACTGTGTCATCGAATTAATTCGGATTAAAAACTTCATTACCTCACCGGTAGTAATCTGTTGCCTTAGCTGTAACTGTTGATATTATCCTACTCTGAACGGTGGGACTGTTGTTTCTTGTTGATGGCACTACAGGGGGATCAGATCATTGGTATTTAGGTCTTGAAGACCTGGGAGGGTCAGGTACTCATTAGACCTCTTCCTCCCTCCTGAACTGTTGTTATTTAGTGTGCTATTGATTTGGGGTTTGGTAAGATGCTTTGAATGTCTATTTATTGCTCTTGCTACTTTCTTTTTCAGGACCATGTCCGTTTATGTTACCTGATTAATTATTTGTTTTAATTAGTTATGTTAACTGTGCGATTGTGTTCTGTGACGTTTGTGGAACGAGTAATTGTATGATCTGTGGTAGTGGGGGGGTAAGGTGTTCGATATCTATTTTAATAATGAGTGTGATGCAGTCCTCTTGGGTTTCTGTATTGTGCTAGGAATTCATATATATATGGTACTAAATGTGCATTCAACATTACTATTTTCTTTTCCCTGTTCAGCTATTATTTTGAACATGAAATGCAGTGCTGTCACCTAGTGGATGTAATTTTGTTGCTGTTTTTTCATCTTAGTGCCAAGTTATAGTTTTTATTTACGATTTCGTTTTTCCCTGTTCAGCTATTTATTTAAACATGAATTGCAGTGCTAGTGGATGTAATTTTGTTTTTTATCTTAGTGCCAAGTTATAGTTTTTGTCAAATTACTAGTTTTAACTGTGAGTGTTCCTCGTTGAAAAATCGGTTTAATAATTCTCGGACATTTTATGTATGATACAGAGTTAACTATATTTTGTTTATACTCATGTGGTTTTCTTAGATACGTGCACTTTATTTCGAGGTAAACTGCTCACCGGTATTATATAAGCAGATGTATTAACCATCTACTGGTCCTTAAGCTAACGAGGTGTGGGCCTTATGCATGTAGCAACTAGAAAATGCAAGATATTTAATTCGTCCATCTATACGTTTGTTTGTTTGTTTTTTTAATTTCGCGCAAAGCTAAACGAGGGATATTTGCGCTAGCCGTCCCTAATTTAGCAGTGTAAGACTAGAGGGAAGGCAGCTAGTCATCACCACCCACCGCCAACTCTTGGGCTACTCTTTTACCAACGAATAGTGGTATTGGCCGTCACATTATAACACCCCCATGGCTGAAAGAGTAAGCATGTTTGGTGGGACGGAGATTCGAAGCCGCGACCCTCAGATTGCGAGTCGAGTGCCCTAACCACCTGGCCATGCCGGGCCCCATCTATACGTGTAAATAACTATGAAAGGATTACACACAAAAAAGTACAATTGTTAACTTCATATTTTTATTTTATCATGCAGGATTTAACAGTTACTATGTCACACGGAATATAATTTCACCGTATTGTACGTAAGATTTAATATCATACAGAATATTCCAATATGAAAGCTTTACACATAAAAATAAAGTAACAATTAGTGCATATTTGTGAGTTTATTCGTCGTTGTTCGTGTACCTAAATTATGATAGTTTTTCAGAATATTATTCAAACATATTCTAAGAGTCAGTTCAAAGAAACGAGTACTTTTTTTAAAAATTTAAGAATATCCAGTGCATAAAGAAACGCAAACTGTAAGATGAAGCTTTGTAAACTAAGTTTGTTATAATAGATAAGATGTTTAAATGTTTAGATATTAAAGAAACAGAATATCACAGTGAGTTTATGTTTTTCATTCTTTTTCATAAGAGTTTATGTGTTTCTTTCTTTTTTATAAGGGCTTATGTTTTCTTTATTCTTTTTTTTTTTCTAGAAGCTAAGACCCAGGGACATTGAATCGCTGTAGAACAATGAGACCCTTTGTATTTGTATCACGCATAAAAATTGTTTGCATCATTTGAACATTTGTAATTTGTGAAAATTATTACTCAAAGTGGTTTTTCATATATATATATATGCATGTCAGTATATCTTTTTATGATATATATATAAAATGTTTTCTCTCTTTGAATTAAATGTTTAAAAAAAACATTGTGTTTAAGTCTCTTGTTACATATTTTACTGACCCCCCTGATTATAACACAAATACTGAAAATAATTAAATTCCGTATTCTGACTGACTCCCCCACCCTACCCAATGAATCCATAGATACCGAGTACCTTAACAATACCGTGTATTTTGTGTATTTATTCTCCCCCCCCCCGACACTTTTCTGCAGTCTACACTTTGGAAACCCCTAACTTTGCATAGAATATTTTACTATCGCACACGTTAATTAAATGTTATGACATTATCTATCGGAAGTTCTACATTGATTGAAGGCTGTCGTTGATGCATGTATAATAACTCCGCTTTCACTGTGGTTTCGAAGTAGATAAGTACATGTTTGGATTTTTTATTTTTTGAGATGACAGAAAAGGTTTGTGTCTGATCACCTGTCAGCATATTTAAGCATCAGGATCACAATAAAATTAATTCAGTGATTTAATTCGAAACATACAACAACATAAAAAATTAAAGAAACAGGCAATACACATACAGTAGCCACAAACAAGTAATTTCCAGTAGATAGTGAGTTTAATAGTGATATAAAACATTATCAAAAATGAAAAAGATAAGTTGTTCAACCCACCAGTATTTTTTTATGTTAGCTCTTTGATTTATACTAAGCGTCATATTTTCATGCGACCCTAAACCTTATAGGTATACGATTGTGGAATATTGTTCCTAATGCACTGTTTTATTCCCAATAATTCAGCCAAGTTGTTTTGTCACCTTTGACCTTCTTTGTTTTTATAGAAGCCCTACAACCTCAAGAATGTTTATATCACGACTTTGTACAGGCCAAGTCATAGTTGTGAGTTTTTCATGTCTTTTTACAGTCAATATATCATTTTACCACATTTTTTCTATGTTTGGGATCCAATACAGTCAATATATCATTTTACCACATTATTTTTATGTTTGGGATCCTATACAGTCAAGATATCGTTTTACAAAATAATTTATATGTTTGGGATCCAATACAGTCAATATATCATTTTACCACATTATTTTTATCTTTGGGATCCTATACAGTCAAGATATCGTTTTACCACATTTTGTCATTGTGTTTACGGAAGATGAATTATCGCTCGGTGACCATGTAACAAATTGCACTATAAGAAGCTGTCCTCTGAGATCCCGATCATTAGGTATCACTGTTGTCACCAAACAGTGGTGAACAAGTGTCATTTGAAAGTTAGAGGGTGGAGTGTTACATCGCCAAGTAGCAATGGCACTTGATATTTCTCTAAATATAAATGGTTGGGGTGATTGACTTAGGGTATCAATATCAGAATCAGAATCGGCATCAGACAACAACTACTGAGTAACAAAGGTTTGTCACTACTCAAAGTCTGCAGTAACAACTTTAGTGAACAAGCGGGATTATAGTTTCGAGAGAAATAATGAGAGGGACCTAAACAATAGTGATTTATATGCCAGAAGGTCAATTACTTGCCCATTTTTCATCATAATGCATAGGATGCATCTAATAGCTTGGATACGTCAACAGAAGAACAGAATCAATGTCCTACCTATAACGTAACGATGTGTGTATCACAATTTGGGAATCATGTGAAACACTACACAGAAGCATATATTGCCCACTAGGTTTTGTTTGGATGTGTTCAATCATGATCTGGGTTGGCATCATCCAAGGACGTACAAGAACTGGCTAGTGGTATGGAGAAGAACTTCTGGTGCTATTGTGAGGCAACTTGAATGTATGATTAAGCCATTTTTTTGGATGATAATGGAAGAGAATGTCATGTGTGAGGGGAATTAGAATGCCTTAACAAGAAGTGTACTACATATATGGTCCAGCTGGTAATCTCATCTGGCTTAAGCCTAATGGCGTACATCTGGGATATTATACAGAAACAGCATAATCAATGCAACCATACGACTTGCAGAAACTTCAAACTGAACACTTGGAAGAATAGCATCACTTTCCTCTCAGATGCAATTGAAGTTGTGATCCACGGTTTATCATTTTGCTGTCCCTGCAAGAAGAACCATACACGGCTTTAGAAGGTCATTGCAATACAGCTGTTGCTCAAACTGCACATTATAAATGACATATGCTAACAATATGCATATGATGAACATACTCTGTACCCGGAAACTTTACTGCTAGTTTCAAAATATGGATTTTCGATAATAAGCTGCATGTCTTCACTGTTTTTACAAAGGATATTATAATTTGATACAGAAGTTTAATGGAGGAGCGTACATTCATAGATCGGTTTTTCCTTATCAAACGATCTTCTTTCTATTTTCTATTTAGAAAATTCTCAAATTTCTGTAAGATTTTGACTTTGTATAAAATATCCAGCTGTGATTCCAATACTAATAACCCAAATTAGTTATATATGTGCTAACAGAACAGACAAAATGTTTCAGAAGTATCAAAGTTTCCAACTATTCACATAAGTTCCCCCTCCCCCCGTGTAGTTGAAAATGATTGAATGAAACAAACTCGTTTCTTCAATATAAATAGCAAAGCACTGTATACATTGTATTTTGTACACGACATTTTTCTCTGATACAGATTGTTTTTTTTATTTGTTAACTACAAGCTTGCTAGGATTTAAAAGTAAAGTTTTTGTGTTTTCCAGAATTTGAACTAGTAAAGTTTTAGGCCTGATTTATTAATATCCTTACGAATCCTAGGACCTACATTTTCATCTTGGAATACTAGGGTATAATGGTACACTGTTTAACATGTTAATTGTTTAGAAATGCTATTGTTAATCTCCAGTGAAATTACGCTGATTAAGTAACTGTAAAATATTGTTGTTACGACAGCAATTTTCCAAAAGATGCTTAAAATCACCTACTTAATTCCAAACACTTTAATTATCTTACACATGTTGATTTTGGTGCAATGTTATTTTCTTATTTATTTTATTTGATTTAACTTACAAATAATGAGAAAAATATATTAATATGGATTGTGGATTTTTTGTTGTTATGAAGTATAAACATTTAACTTTCAATTTTGCCTAATTCCAAATATATTTTATACGTGTATATTCCAAATTATTTCTTCCGCTGTAACGTCTCTTTACCTCAATCCATTGTTGTATCAGGTTCCATCGTCTTGTGTGTAACTATATTTTATTATTTAATTTCTGTAGTGCATATTGGTGTATAGAAGACATATTAGTATTAGAAATAAACGATATTCTAACACCAAAATGTAGTTTTTTATTAAATTAGACACTTAACGTTTCGCTTTATATCCTCTTCAGGTACCTTCACTAAAACACAAACCGAAACTGACAGTACAAAACTTCAAAACCGTTGGTGTTTTAGTGAACGCTCCTGAAGAAGCTGTAAAGTGAAACGCTGAGTGTCTAATTAAATAAAAAAACTACATTTTGGTGTTATAAGGTCATTTATTTCTAGTATTAATATAACTATATTTTATTGTTGTAGTTTGTTCGTTCCTATAACGCACTATTTGAACTGTAGGTATGACAATAGTAACTATTTAACTCTTGATAAAGGTAGAATCCGAAACGTTGGCTATCAATAAAAGTTTTCTTCTGGATTTTGTAGTCGTGATTTTTACAATACCAAGTTTAACTGAAGGTTTACAAGTCAGCGTGTTATTCTTGGATAGGCATACAAATGTTCATCTTTGATGGAATAATTAAAATAGAACAATTATCACATACTCACTTTTAATCATTGTAAATACGAATAACCATATGAAGCTGTTTAGGTAAGAGAAGCACGCACTTCCTTCGATAACAGAGGCGTCCACTCAATGAAATCTATCTGTGCTGTGCCCACCACGGGTATCGAGACCCGTTTTTTTAACGTTATAAACTCTCAGACTTACAGCTAAACCACTGAAGGGGGGGGGGGAGCATGGTTTTAGGTATAGAAAAGGCTTGGCGTAGTTTTATAGTCATACGCACAAATGTACAAACACCTGTATATCTATAAACTCCACTAAGCTGATCTCTCAGATATATTAACCTCTATCATGCTATTGACTTATCTGAACTGCAAGCTTACAGTCGACAATAATACCATGAGCCATATTTGGAGGTGTGTTACTCTGCAGAAAAACAATTAGAGAGTAATTGGAAGTCATAACATTTTAGTAACAAAATCACTATACATTTTTATGCAACTTAGGCATGTATATGATAATCCATATTATTTTTACTATGTTTTGAATGTGAAAATTGGCTGAGATTTTTACCAACGTTACAAAAGCAAAAGTATTGTGTCGATATGAACACGCTTCGGAATGAATTATAAAAAGCTCTTTCTAGAACTAGTCCTGTTTATGATATAGTTTAGTTTATTTGTTAATTACCTGCGGCCAAACTCTTTTTCTGCATACTTTCACATGTTTAAAATATACACAAAATATGTGGATATGACATGACGAATTTGAAGATATATATATATCAAATAATTTTGTAAATTTTAAAGCAAGTGATAAATTAAAAAGCTAAGAAAACCATTAAATACAAGTATTTAAACTAAACTTTAAATCTTGGTTATGAGAACATCCGACTAAAGGAAAGAAAAAACACATTCTGGGTTTAATGTTTTACTCTCACACTGGAACATTCCCCATTAAAAATAAAACACCATAAGAGTAAAATAACAACCATAATCCCCAAAGCACCTTTTTTGGAAGAAAATGTGCTATCATTCAGCAAAATGTCTAAGAAAGAAAAACGCTGTTTGTTCAAGCTAGTAAAAGAAACAGAAACAACAATTGGTTACGCACGTCAACAGCACAAACAAAGTAATATTTCAGAATCATCTAAGTTTATAAATAACCACATAAACCCAAAAGCGCAGTTAAAAATATTGGAATGGAAAAACCTTCTTCACGTTATGAATTGCTTGATTTTGTGAAAATGAAGTTAGAAAAAAAACG